GAGGCAGTGGGGGAACTGGATTCATCAGGAAACAGCATTTGCAAAAACCTGGTGGCATGAAAAAAACACCCAGCTTAGAGCACTCAAAGTAACCCATCTCCTTGGAGGGTAAAGTGGGTGATGAGAAGTGACCAGAAATAAGGCTGAGCAAATTGGGCAGGGCTGGGCCTCTTGTAGACACTCAGGAAGGACGGGAAGAGAGTGTATAAAGTCACAGGAGTTCTCAGATCCCTCACCCCCTCTTCTGTGTCCTTCCAGAGCCTGCACAGCATTTCCTTGCAGCTGGAGGAGAAGGTGAAGAAGGGGGCTGAGGGGGAGACTGAAGAGGAAAAGGAAAGCAGTAGAGGAAGTAACTTGTGTAGAGCGGAAAAACGAGAACAAAACCTGATTCTTCCCTTGGAGGAGGACAGTTTCCCCTGCAAACTAGCACCTGCCAGGCAGCCTCAGACTGGGTGCTGGGACCACCCCTCCCTGGCCAGTTGAAAGGAATGGGGATGTCGCTGTCAGAGTGGAGAGTGCTCAAAGAGGGGCCAGGTGCATAGCCCAGATCTGGGTTGTGGTGGGGAGAGGACGAGTTGGGAACCAGAGAGGGAAGAGGTATAAAGCAGGCAGGAAGTGGTTTTTGGCAGTGATTCCTATACATCCCTGGGAAGGGGCAATCGTATTGAGGGACATGCTCAGAGGGGCATGTAGAGTGTGCATAGATTCTATGCCATGGAGGCCAGGGACTGTGGGCGGCCATGGCCTGAAAACTGGTAGAGTTGTCAGTGACCCTGCTCTCTCTACCCCGGGCCTGACCAGGATGCAAGGAAAAGCCCATCACCGTTCCTCTGGCAGCAACAGCCTGAGCCCTGAGACCTCTCATGAGGGACAGGCTTCACAGGTGCCTCTCACCCCGTCTGGAGGGAATGGATTTTACAAGGATAGCCATGAGGGCCTTTAGGCCATTAGCCCCCAGGGTGGCTGGGTGAAGGAGGAAGGGAGAGAGGTGGGGCCTGGCAGGGACTCCAGCAACTAAGGCCTTAAGGAGCAGAGAGAGCAGACTGGAGGGCTTATTCTCAAAACCATCAGGACTTGGCTCATTCAGCTCTTTACCCCTTGCCAGGAATGGGAGGGCCCTAAGGGTTGACTGTGAGGGAGAGCTGGGGTGTTTTTGGGGCGGAGAGTGTTCCCTAGAGCAGATCTTCAGGCAATGGGGTCCTCAAACACCTTTCTCCAGCTCAGCCAGTGCTGCTGCCCTTCTCCATGCCACCCCCAACCCCCATACCATCCCTCCACAGAAAAGTATAAATTTGCCACTTGGCAATAACAGCCTATCTGGGCAATATTTTTACGTCGTACAAAAACATGTTCACATCTATCATCATCTCTGATCCTTGCTACAATCCTGTGAGGTAATAAGGGTCAATATAAATTTTTTAGCAGAAGAAGTGACCAAAGCTCAGTGAAAGCACTTTTTCTTTTAGCATTTTTGCCTTAGTCTCATGGTTAGTGCCTGCAGTAAGGTGTAATCAGCAATATCTGCTGAGCTTCTGCTGTGTTCCAGGTGGTGTGCTTCACCCCTGGGTGCAATATGTCCTTTAAATCTCACAGCAGCCCTGCATAATCCCTGTTTCACGGATGAGAAAAATGAGGCTCAGAGAGGTCAAGCAACATGCTCAAGCTTACAGTAGTGGCAGAAATGGGTCTCAAATTTTGTCTGTCTGACTCCAGATCTAGTGCTGATAGCATTGTGCTAGCAGAAGCACCTTAACTGCACTGGGCAGGGAAGTCATCTAAGCTGGACTGACAGCTGCTCTGGAGAAGATGGTAACAGCCCCTGTTCCCCGGAGACAGGCTGCTGTGCTCTTGCTTTTATCTAGGCCCTGTAGGAAATGCTGGTGTGACTTGGGAAAGACAGAGAAGCCCCTCCCCCGCAAGACTCTGGGGAGCAAATCAGGATGTGGTGGGGGCAGGTTTGGATTGCCCTGAGGGTGGGGTAAAGGCAGAATGCCTGAGAGAGAAGGGAAAGAGAAGTCTCAGGTCTGGAAGGTTGGAAAGAGAACAGAAGGTGGGAGACCAGGCAGGCACCACTGGCCATGCCCAGCAAGAACTCTTCTAGTTCCCACTTGGGGAACATCTACGGACATATTGGCCACAGGGCCACAAAGAAGCAGGTGGAGCCCTGAGCAGATGCCTGGGCCAATCAGGGGGCCCCTATACCTGCCAGGGAAGTGGGCCAGGTGTGGGGCCGGGCTATTTGCATGTCCTAATTAACCATAAAATAAGCCCCAGAGGTAGAGTTAAACTGTCAGTTTCTCTCTGCTTACTTTCACTATCTCCTCCCTATACACACTTCTGCCCTCCATACACTTTTCTGCATTGCTTAGGCCCTAGGCATTCCCGTTCACCTCTCTTCTGTTACAGTAAAATAAACGCAATCTCCATCATCGTTGCAGCAGGAGCCCATTCGGAGAGGGAAAAGTAAAAATTATGGAGGGATGGCATTAAATTAATTACCATAATCTTTCATTATCAAAGCATGACATAATGGGTGGGGTGTCACATCAGCCCTTTCAAGACCTGGGCAAAATTCCTGCATCAGACAGCATGCCATTTATTATCCATACAGGGACATGGATAATATGGGGTGGACAGGTTTTGTTTTTCTTGATTTGACTTTGGAGTGGGTATGGATAATTTGTGGGGTAGTGTGAAAAGCACAAGATTGGAAATCAGTTGGAACTGTTTCAATCCCAGCTCTGCTACAAGTGACCTTGGACAAGTTGCTTAACTTCTCTGAGCCTATCCATGTAAAATAAGAATGATGGCAACCACTTCCAGGATGTTATGAGGGGAAATATGAATACAAAGGTAAAGGTGCCTGGCTCCTATGAATTATGTTGGCAGCAAATGTCTCTTCCTAATTGTTTTGTTCTGGGCCAAGTTAGAATGAGTTTTCAGTCTCTTGAATCTCCTCTGGCTTCTTGAAACTCTTTGGCTCTTCTGGCTTTTAACCAATAGGTTAAAAGTCTGCTTCTTTCTTTTCCACTGGATTCCCTTGAGGTCAGCAGCTGGGTCCTTTTCATTGCTCCGTTCTTAGTTCCTATCACAATGCCTGGCTGCTATGACCAGTCCACAAAGTAGATGAGTTGCTGATGAATGGCAACTAAGTGGCTTGGTTTCCTATAGAATCATTCCAGACTCAGAGCTGGTGTCATCTTGAGTAATTTGCTGGACAGCTTCTTCACCACCCAAGAGCCTGTGGCTTCCTCCTCTCACAAATCAATCAGTAGATGGAATCTTTACATGCACATTCTACACACATGCACACAGAGTCACCGCCACCACAAAAGGCAGGCACAGCCGATGTTCCTTCACCCAAAAGTGAAATATCAAGAGTTTTCTGGAGAGGCACAAAGGATGGGAAGGGCTGGCTCCTCCAGATAGAGCTAGCTCAGTTGGCAAACTCCAAGTGGACAGGTAGAGAAGAAAGGACGTGGGTTTTGGAGCCAGATAACCCTGAGGCTCAAATCTTGATTCTTTCATTTGCTGGCAGCCTCATCTGGACGGCTTATATGACCCCAAGAGCCTCCATTGATGTTTCTGCAGAACGGTACCTCCTAGGATCATTCTAAGTGTAAAAGAAATGTGCACACTACCTAGCAATAGCGAGTGCTCATAAACAACAAAAAAAGAGCTCCTTTCCCTCTCTTGTGTTGCTTTCCCACCTAAAACTAAACATCTGCCATTTGCGTGGGAATGTGAGGGTGACCCTAACCACCGCCACTGCACTCCCCACCCCCAGCTCGAGACCTAAGCCCTCTTCCTCCATTTCCGCCCCCTGGAGGTCCAGGCTGCAGGCAGAAGAGCCCTTCATGTTATTTTTCTTACCCAATTCGCTATTCAGGCTCTGAGGGCAGGAAGGCGTCTTGCCTCTAATTGCAGCTGTCACACCCCACCAGGCTGAGGCGCGATCAGCCGGGAGCGGGGAGAGGGCGTGCCCTCCAGGGCTGGCTCGGCCCAGACACGGACCGCATTGTCTTCTCTCCGCCAGTGGGCGTTCCCTGCGGGACTGGGAGGCACAGTGGCTTCCGGGGGCGGGCCCCTGGGTCCGCGCGATCTGTCCCGGGCCACGTGCCCAGAGCGGCTTTGGAAAACCCTGAGAGGCCGCCGCCGAGCTGGAGCTGGGCTGCTGCCCGGCCCGACCTCTTCGCCCGGGCTGCGCCTAGTGGGGAGGGGCCGTGGATGGAGCTAACGATTTTTTAAATGAGTGCGTATTTCTTCTGGATCCGCCCTCACCTCCCTGGTGAATTTATATGTTCTTCTGTCTTGGGTGAGAGTTACATGCAGGAGACAGGGTGTTGGGGTTGGGGAGGAGTGTGTGCAACTCCAAGGTCCCCCTTCTACTCTGCAGTGAGGTCTGGACTGCTCCACGTCCTGCCAGCCACGTGTTCTTGGACAGGTAGCCTAGCTAGGCTTGTTTACTCATCTGGAAAATGGGATAATGCCTGCCTCGCCTGCCCACTTGCAAATGACACCACAGGTATGAAAAGGTTTTCAAACATGAACAGTGCAATCAATACAAATCCCTGTGCTTTGGGGAAGGCGTGAGGAGTGTCTGCTTCTCCCCCAACTACTCCTTATACCTACACTCTTTATTCAGCTCATTTCTCAGGATCCAGGTGTAGGCTGGAATCTCCAAGGCAAAGGAAAGGGATTTGCCTACTGCTGCTGTGACTCCCAGGAGGGCTGGGGTTCATTCCCTGTGCCTTCAGCAATGCCTTGCCTGGGAAGTAGGAAGTTATAGGGTTTGGGGTGCCAGAGACAGGTCTTTATCGGGGCCTCTTTGGGGAACCTGAGGCCCCAGTACTCTGTCCCATACAGAATGTTCAGCTGAGGCCTTTGCGGGGAGTGGAGGAATATCAGGGATTTCCTGGTCTCTTCCTTCCCTCCCCTACTGTCACCTCCAACCCCAAAGTGAGCAAAACACACACACACACACACACACACACACACACACACACACACACACACACCTCTCCCTCTCCCCCACTTCTTACCAGGAACTCTCACCTTCCCCGCCAGCCAGCCCCTGCCACAGCCTCTCCCATCAGCCCTGCACTAAGAACTCTGGTTCCTTCCTCCTTTCTGGGGAAAAGGAACTTGGAGTTGGGCTTTTGAAAGCCATACTGCTTGCCCGCCCTCCTCCCCAGGGGCCCAGCACTGGGACCTGGCCCTTTCGGGTTCAGTCAACTTTCTGTCTCTAGGATTCAGACCCAAACAGCTGTGTTAATATCAAAGCCTGAGCGTGAGGGTTCCAGGGCCTTGGGGCAACTCGTGGAGGGATTTTCCCCTTGTCTGGGCTCCCCGGTTCCTGGGAAGGGGAAATGTCCAGAGCTCTTGGAATGGCTCCTCTTCTTGACCTTCTGGGAGCGTCCAGCTCGGGGCTCGGAGACAGCGGGAGTCACCCAACCTGGTTTCTCCTTCAGCAGCCGGTCACGGTCTGGACGCACGCTACGCAAGAACTTCCTAAAGATGTTTGCTGTTAGGGTAAACTTGCGGCCCAGCTCCCGAGGCTGGCCTTTCTCTCCTTTGGACTCGCCTGCCCCACCAGTCTCATCCTTCTCCCCACCCTTCTCCAGTTCTGGCAAGTCTAACCAGTTCCCTACCAGGTCTGCAAAAACATTGTCCCCTAACACCAGAGGCTGTCGATTCCGGCCCCGGGACATCAACGTGGAGGTCCAGTCGTCTGGTTCCACCCGCTCCAGCCCCTGATGGGCACAGCTTTGGTGCTCCAGCAGCTGTGTGCCAGGCAGGGGGGCTGAATCCCTCCCACAGACACTCCTATGGGATGGAAACTTCGTGCTGCTACCAAAAGAGGGCTGGCTGGAGGGGGAGCAGGCCACAGGCCTGGCAGGACCTCTGCCACCCTCCCATTGGGGGCACTCAGGCTGTGTCCAGGGGTTTTCAAGGCAGCCTGGGGCAGGACCTCCTCCAGAGATCTCCAGCTGTTCCAATGCTGTCTGCACCTGCAGGAGCTTCAGTTCTTGCAGCGCTCCCATCATGCAGTTCATCTGATCCTGTAAGCCATCACCCACCTCCTTCATGGACATCTGCAGGGGACAGAGGAAGCACAGGGCCAGTGAGCCATGGTGGGCAGCAGGGAGGGCTGCCCATCCTGACCCTGAACCTAGACCTCCCACCCAAACACACTTCCAGGGTCATTCCAGCCTGCCACTAGCCCCACCTCTCCACAGTCTAGTACACTGCAGATCACTGCTGGGAGAGGAGGAATGTTAACACTGATATGGCTGGATAAAGAAATAATATTAATGACAGCTAACTAGCAAAGATAGGCATTGTCCTAAACTATACATATATAACCTCCCCAACTACCCTATGAGGTAGTGGCAGATTTTACAGATGAGGAAACTAAGGTACATAAGTAACTTGCTCAAGATTAAATAGAGGTAGAGCTGAGATCGGTCTGAAGGTACACAAAGTTGTGGTGGCCATCCTTGTCCTTTTTTGTGCTGTGTCCTCCTCCTCCCTGAAATGATGATGGTGATGATGGCAACAATTTGGGAGCATTTACTATGAAACAGGGATTGTGCTAAGTACTCTGCATGCATCATCTAATTTAAAATTTATAAGAGCCATATGAGGTTGCTATTACTCTCATTTTAAAAAATGAGTATACTGTGATAGGGGTGAAGTAACTTACCTCAGGTCACACAGCTCAAAGAGCTGGGACTCAAACACAGGACCGTCTTACTCTGGTGCTGTAGTCCTGACTACCAAATACTGCCTGGTGATGGCTAGCCAGTGGAGCTGGGTTTTAAGGCTACTCTGTCCTCGACAGGGTGGTGGAGAAGGGTTGAAAGGGACATTAGGGGATGAGGAGGAGCTCAGATTCCCAAGAGAAAGGGTAGGCCTGGGGTTTTCTTTCATTGGTGTTCATATCTGACTGGTCAGGAGAGAGGGGGCCAGCCAACTCCTGTTTACTGGAAACCCTCGCCCAGCTCTTCCCAGCCTGTCTCTGCCTCCCAAACACCTGTCCTCTCTCAGCTGCTCTCACACTTGGCTCCAATGCTCTTCCTGCCTTCTCAGCCTAATAGGCTCTGCTGCCCTGGCCAAGCCAGGGTAGAGATTCTGGGGGCCAGTTCTTCCAGCCCCTTTGTATGTATCTAAGGCCTGAGTCCCAGGCGCAAGCTGTAAGGAACTGAGAGATTGACTTGGGTGGAGGCCGAATTTACAGGCTGGGGAGGGGAGGCTTCCTCTGATAACATTCACAAGGCTCCCTGTCCCAGGGCCCAAGCTGCTTGATCTCGTCAGCTCCCTCCCCAGATCCTGATCAAGTTACCAACAGCAAACCCATGTGCAGGGACCATCTGTTTCTTAAGCCCTCCAGAGACCCACGCGATCATCTTACCTCCCAGGCTTCTCTTAATGCACAGAGCTAAGCCCAGAGGGTGGAGCAGTGGAGGGACTGGAAGAGGCTCTGCAGGACTAGGCTGGCAGCAGACCCTCTGAGGCTTCTGGCCATGTCGAGGATGGGGGATCTGGGCCAGACTCGCAATGAGCCACCAGCACTAAAAGACAGTGAAGGACGGATGGCAAGGAGGCCTTTGCTGGGATTCATGCACCTTCCCCAAAGCAGGGCAAGAAGAAGGGATTGGAGGCACTGACAGCCCTGGGATTTGCCCGACTTTGTGCTGCTTGAGTGGCGGCAGCAGCAGCGGCAAGGGACACAGACCCTGTGGGGTGGCTGTGCGTGTTGTTGGCAGCCCCTTGCTCTGGCCTCTTTGCTTTTACCTTCCTGACCCCTTCCTTTCAGTTGCAGCTGGTAAGACCCAGAGCAGAGTTAGAGGAGTCTTGGTTCCCTCCTGGCACTCTGCTTCTCCCTCTGACTTCCCTATTCTTCCCCCCTCCCCTAGTGCCACTTTCCTTCTTGCCCCTGGAATCTCAGAGTCATTTTTGGCTTCTCCATTCAACCACCCCTGGTCCTGTCCAACTTAACATATACCATGTTGAATTCTTCCTTCCACAAATGTCTCACATCTTTCCTTCCACACCCTGGAATGCTACAGAAGTCTCCTAGAAGGCTTCACAGCCCCCAGGACACATGAGTGCCTGATCAGACTTCCCAGCACACACCTCCAGTCATCTCACTGGGTGCCCATGCTCAAATCCAAACTATTTGGTTCTGCAGTCAAGACCCTCCAACTTTCAATTCCAGGCATAACCCTAGTTCCTTACACAAACCCACCACGCTCCTGTTAGAACCTCTCCTGTGATACTTAATATGCTCTTCCCTATAACACTATTTATGCACTCGCTCTGTCTTCTATGAATTTAAATGCTCAGTCACTCATGAAGTATTTATTGAGTGTCTACTACTTGCAGGCAAGGACTGAGGTCTACACATCATCATGTCACCTCAGAACCGAGCTAGCACCTTGCACTTGCTACATACCCATGAAACATATGGGTATGTAGCACTACTCACGACCTTACATCACCCCTCCAGACCGCTTGCTACCTTCAGACAGTAACTCACTACACAGGGAGAGTCAGTCAGGGCCACTTCTCAAGGTTTCGTTTCACTAAGAGGCAAGGCATCCAAGCTGGCAAGCTTCCTTCCAGAAGGCTAAACACGGTCCAGGTCAGAGGCAGTGGGAGGAATGAAATGACCCCTTTCAATCTCTTCCAGTGTGGAAAAATCCATAAGAAATAATGCTGACATTTTGTACAGTTTTCCAGTGAGAATGAGTGTGTGGGTACACATGAATTCAGGGCTGCCCATGAAACAGAGGCCCCATTTAAGTAAACAAGTGCTGAAACTGCACCCATATGGAGAATGATATTCTGTATTGGTTAAGAACTTGCAGGCCGGCCCGGTGGTGCACTGGATAGTGCGCCGCTTGGGAAGCGCAGCGGCGCTCCCGCCCGAGGGTTCAGATCCCACGTACAGACCGGTTCCCGCTCACTGGCTGAGCGAGGCGCGGGAGCAACGCCAAGGTTTGCAATCCCGTTGCCGGTCCCCGGTCCGGTACGGGGGCAACACTGAGGGTTGCGATCCATTGCCGGACACGGAAAAAAGACAAAAGACAAAAAAAAAAAAAGAACTTGGGTTCCAGAGACAAATGGAAGAGAGTTCAAATCCCGGCTCTGCCATGTAGTAGCCGTGTGACCTGGGCAGCTTATTTAATTTTCTGTTTTTTCATTTCTCCTTTCTTTAAAATGAGAATAATAGTTCCTGCTTCATACAGCCATTGTGCAAATTAGGTGAGGTAATGTGCATTTCCTTATGGCAAGAGAAAGCATCAGGTGAATGTTGGCTGTCAATTTAAGACTTCCTGTGTACTTCCAGAACATTTCTCCCTCAGTGAAACTTAACACTTAGTAATGACAGGATTCCAGGCTTCGTATCTGGTCTAATCAAGAAGAAGCACGTCTTGTCCTGTCCCTTCTCCTCCCACCCCTGCCTGATGCAGGAGAAGGGGAAGGAAAGGGAAGCCTCGTATCTCCTTGCCCCTCCCACACCACGCCCAGCTCAGCAGACAGGGCGCTGACACTGAGGGGCAAGAACAGAAGGAGGGAGCCAACTGGTAGGAAACTGGGAGGGCGAAGGACAGTGGGGAGGCCTGAGCAATAGCTGGGTCTTGACTGGGAGTGGAGCCAGCAGAACAGCCTTTCCTGACCGGCCCCCGACCCAAAGGGATGATGTGATCCAAGAAGGAGCCAGAGGCCAAGCTGCTCCCCTCATCCAGAGCGTGGGACCTTCTCAGATCCCAGAACTTCTCTTGCCTCAGGAACGAAGAAGGAGTGTGGGATGGGGAGCAAAGGAGAGGGGCCAACTCAAATAGGGAAAATCCCGAGCTAGAGATTAATAGCTCGAAATCCCAAACTCCAGGCTGTAGGGGGCTGAGTTCCTCTCTGGCCTCCTAGTAACTCAGAGCCTCAGGTTCTTCCTCAGGACAGGGACCAAATCAGGGCCAGCAGAAGTCACAAGAGGGTCTAATTGATTCTGATTAGTTTGAGTGGGAATGGATCTAACAGCCACCTCCCTTTCCCCCACCCCTAGTCACACACACACACGCAGAGGCAACTGGCTCCACCATCAAACATAAAGTCCTTAATAAGCATATTCCAGTGAAGGTCATGGGAATACCTTCTGAGAAAGGCTATGAAAAGTCTTTTCACCGTCCTTGCCTCCACGCCACCCCACGGTCCATCTCCCAGCCCCAGCATCTCCTGGGCCCCGAAATGTCTCATTTCAAACATTTTCTGGATGTCAAATTTTAGTCTCTCTGGCTGCGATTTAAACCAGCCCCTGCTTCCTCATTGTTAGAGCTGCATGGCCACCGGGTCTGCTCCCAGTGTTTGTAAAGAGTCCCACACTGGTCTGGAGACCTGGCCTGGAGTACTAGCTGACAAATTTGGCCACATGACATTGGGCAAATTCACCACCCTTTTGTGCCTTGGGTTCTGAGTCTGTGAAATGATAATCCCTCACCTGTGTGTGTCACTTTACCTTGCCTGATCCCCACAATTACTCTGGAAGGCTGCCTAGGCAGGTGGTTATCCCCACTGTATGTATTAGGAAGCTAGGGATGCTCTCAGATCATCTTCCCCCACAGTGTTTCCCAAACATTCTTCCATAGAACTCCTTCATGATCTTTGCCGAATCTACGTATGACCTAGTCTCCTATTTAATATTTCATCTAAATCTAATAAGTGTTTATGTAAATAAGTATATTTATAAAGGAACTTGTATGAAATGTCCACTTGCCACGGACAGCTGGTAACCATAGATACATATGCCATCTTGAGCACCACTGTGGATACATGATCTACTGCCTGAGGGCCTGAGGCTTCTTAGCGGGAGGACAGAGACCCCAGGGCTGGCCCACTTACTTCAGGCCAATGGGCTTTCTATGTCATCATAATCCCTGACCTCTCAGCCTCATGGGCTTGTTGTGAGAAAAAACCAGGACAGTCAGCAGGAAGTGCAAAGGGCAATTATCACCATATGGGGAAGAGGAACATGAAGTCATCCTTTTGAGGGACACCAAGATCCAATTCAGTTCCTTTCCACTGAAGGCTTCTC